AGACCCCGTTCCTAATGATGTTTGGTCGCGAGTCTCGCCTGCCCGCAGATCTGCTGTTCGGTGTTCCTCCGCCGCAACGGGAGGAAGGGAGCCACCCCGTGGAGCACTTGCTGGAGACCCTGCGAGGGGCCAGGGGCCGAGCCGGCCCGCACGGAGAGGCCGCGCACCAGCGGCAAGAGCAGGGCGCCCGACCCCGTATGGAGCCCCCCTTCTACACTGCGGGCTCCGAGGTGTGGCTGTACACTCCCCGCGTCGGTGCCGGACAGGTGGGGAAGCTGACCACCTACTGGCGAGGACCCTGGATTGTGAGACGGCAGATCTCACCATGGACGGTGCTGATTCAGGGAGGAGAGAGGGGCCGGGAGATGGTGGTCAACATCCGCCGACTGAAGCCGTGGCGAGCAGCCCCCGAGGGGGGGAGCCCCGCCGTCCAAGTACCCCGAAACCCCGGGGTCCCCCCACCCCCCGTGCCCGGGGGCCTCGCGCAGTACATGGGCCCCACGGAGCCCCGGGCTCCGAGGGGCCCCGGGCGGGGCCGGGGGCGACGAGGACGGCGACCCTTAAACCCCACCGCCTCTGAGTTTGTTCCCCAGCCCGCAGGTGCCAGAGGCCGAGGGGAGCCGTTGGAATGGAGGAGGAGACCACCGCCGGAGCCCCAGGAGACGGAGCCGCCACCCCCGAGGCCAGCCACAAGGGCCGGGCGAATCCCGCGGACCCCGCGGCGATACCTCGTGGGGGCAACCCAGGCGAGGTGCTCCAGTCAACCCGGGACGGGGACTGGCACCCCGGGGGGCTATGTGGTGCCACAACGACGGGGCCGCTCTGCCGAACCAGGGAGCCGCCCGGCTTCCCCCACCGCACTGCCCCCCATCACCCGCCCCACATAAGCACACACCCGCACGCATTCCCCCCCCCCATAGAGCTGGAAGGGAAGGTCACCTGATCGACCGGTTTTTATCCGAGAGACCCTTATCGGGATTAATTCTCACGGTTTCCGGCGATCAGGGAATTGGATGACCTCCCCGTGCTACGTGGCACCGCGGCGCTGCGGCCGGCCTTAATATGGTAGGTCGTGGCGTGGGGCATTCGGCCACCGCGGTTGAGGCGCATTTCCCCCCACACACACTCCCACGGGTCGACGGGGCGAGCAGGGGAGGCACGGGACAGCATGAATAGCGGGGTCACAGGGGCTGTTGCGCATAGTCATGGAGGGTTGGGATAATTGCGCTTGAGCGCGCAGGCCCCATTGTTAGGGAGGGTAAGGGATTAAGTAGGATTTACGCCTTGCACGCGGCACACTGATTAGCATATCAACAGCACCCAGAACCGCCGTGCGCGTGCCAGAGGATCGCGAGCCCATTGTTTAGCGCAGCATCCCCTTGAAGGTAGGGAGGATAAATAGAGGGGCGCAGAGGGAAAATAGCTCCCTTCTCTCCAGGCCAGCGGACCAGCAGGACTTCCAGCCAGCGACCCGGACGTCCGTGCGACGCATCGAGGTACGCTGTTAGCGCAGAGAGCAGCGAACCTCCGCGGGCACCAAACAGTGAGTGGGGAGGTGAAGTAGGGTATCGTAAGCCGATAAATAGGGAATAGGTACAGGTTTAGTGGAATAGGCCAGCCTCGTCGACTCACTGATTACACATCAATTCGCAGGTAGCATATAATAAATCATTAATAGCGAAGCGTGGTCTCGCGTGATCTTGTCGTGCGGTGTGAGCGTGTGGGTGCGCTGTGTGCACCGTGGTTCGCCACGTGAGTGAGCGCTGCGCGGAGCTGAGCGCGCGGGTTGCGCGTGGGTACGCAGTGATTCTGTGGTGCTGCGGCTCGCCTCGGGGGAGCGCTGCGCAGAGCGGTGCGAGAGTGGGTGTCGCGTGTGTTCGCTCCGTGTGTGATACAGGTGCGCGAGTATAACGTGAGTTGAGTTGGAGTGCGCGGAGCGGCGTGTGTGTGGGCGTGCGTGCGTTCGCCCCGCGTGGGTTGCAGGCGCGCGATTAGGAAAGGGAAGTATCATAATAGAGAGGGGCAGAATACTAATCGGTAATTAACCATGCCCATTACGCGGACCCGCGGTGGAGGGGAATCCGCGGGCGACGGCTCCCACACCATAGGTGAGGAACTTAGCAGCGGTTCGCTTAGCAGCGGGGGGGCGATTGATGATGCTAGCCCGGCCGTTAGCATTATCGAGGGAGGGATCTCGGGGGCTAGCGACCCCCACAATTTCCCTGTACAAGAATAGGGGTAAGCCGAATGGGTTGACATGTATGAATGTGTGGCATTTAAATACAATACTCGTTTTTATTAAAGCTGTGTCTGTGTTTGTTCAGGGTGTGCCAGGGTCTCAGGGTCCTATGGGACCTCCTGGCGTGCCTGGACCTCACGTGAAAAGTTAAAGAAAGTGTGCGGTAAATAGTTGATGTCAAAGGTTTCTGGAAATTGTTGACTCCCCCCTCAAAACATATCTTTACCCCCACGTAGTTATATATAGCTACACGCCCTACATACAACAGAGGAAGTAGTATCTATTGATTCTGTAGTTGTCTCGACGGACTGTACAGTAGTATCTACTGAGCCAGTAGTAGCTACTGACTGTGTAGTAGGATTTACTGCATTTCGTATTTTCATTAGAGAATGCACTGAATGTGTAAGTTGTGAATAAATGACGCTGCAGCGACGACAGCCTGACTCGTTCTTAGTTTAATGTCGCATTTAGTCGTCTAGACAAAAGTATCAGCTTAGATGCAATATCACCCTAAGAAAGTTACGTACCCGTTATTTTGGTATGATTTATCCAAGAGATAAACTGCCTCATGTGGCACTCCGCTTGTTTCTACTTTATATATACTGTATTAATGTATACTTACATACATTTAATCACGATTATTTCCTGTTCCATCAGCTAAAATTACCATCATATATACAGTGAGGGAAAAAAGTATTTATCCCCTGCTGATTTTGTACGTTTGCCCACTGACAAAGAAATGATCAGTCTATAATTTTAATGGTAGGTTTATTTGAACAGTGAGAGACAGAAAAACAACAACAAAATCCAGAAAAACGCGTCAAAAATGTTATAAATTGATTTGCATTTTAATGAGGGAAATAAGTATTTGACCCCCTCTGCAAAACATGACTTAGTACTTGGTGGCAAAACCCTTGTTGGCAATCACAGAGGTCAGACGTTTCTTGTAGTTGCCCACCAGGTTTGCACATATCTCAGGAGGGATTTTGTCCCACTCCTCTTTGGAGATCTTCTCCAAGTCATTAAGGTTTCGAGGCTGACGTTTGGCAACTCGAACCTTCAGCTCCCTCCACATATTTTCTATGGGATTAAGGTCTGGAGACTGGCTAGGCCACTCCAGGACCTTAATGTGCTTCTTCTTGAGCCACTCCTTTGTTGCATTGGCCGTGTGTTTTGGGTCATTGTCATGCTGGAATACCCATCCACGACCCATTTTCAATGCCCTGGCTGAGGGAAGGAGGTTCTCACCCAAGATTTGACGGTACATGGCCCCGTCCATCGTCCCTTTGATGCGGTGAAGTTGTCCTGTCCCCTTAGCAGATAAACACCCCCAAAGCATAATGTTTCCACCTCCATGTATGACGGTGGGGATGGTGTTATTGGGGTCATACAAGTTAAGGGGGAGGAGGGGGGGAGCTTATCAGAATGTGGTAGCCAATGAATGGAACGTATTGGGAGGGGGGGGGTGCTAAAAGAGGTGTACGTAGACGTCGACGTGGACGTGTTTGTGCGCAAGCCCCTGTTGGTGCACATGACAGAAGAGAACGAAAATGCCCATGTTGTTTTCACCAGTGTTGGCTGACAATCAAATACGAAAAAGGAGAGTACTGTTAAACGCTGGGGATGTCAACACTCGGTAAAGTAAAATAGTGCCTGTCAGATAAAATGGTCCAAAAATGTGTAGTTAAATCTTTTTTTGCATGGTTAATAACATCTTTCCAATGATTACTAAGTTTGTACCCATCATCACGGTTGAAATTATGTCTGTGTTTGTATATCTGAATGGCTTCGTGTACAAACCTTTGATGGTATCCAGAGGGTTTGCAGAGCACCTTAGTCTCGGAAAAAACAATATTATGAGAGCCCATCTGTGAAGGATGTCATCCCTGACTTGCAATACCCTGGAGTCTATAAACTGAGTTGCAGCTGTGGTGATTGTTACATTGGGGAAACGAAACGTCATGTCTCTGATCGTGTCCGCGAGCACAAGCAAGATTTGAAACACGGCAAAATTGAGTCTTCCGCCTTTGCCGATCATTGCTACAACGCGGTGGGCTCTCATGATATTGTTTTTTCCGAGACTAAGGTGCTCTGCAAACCCTCTGGCTACCATCAAAGGTTTGTATACGAGGCCATCCAAATTTACAAACACAGACATAATTTCAACCGTGATGAGGGGTACACACTTAGTAATCATTGGAAATATGTTATTAATCATGCAAAAAATATTTAACCACACATTTTTGGACCATCTGCCGCCCTTCCATGCGCACCTTTCCCTGTAAAACACGAGATCATCGAGTCCACGCATTTCCCCCGTGTTCGACGAGGGAAATGCTCGCCGGGGGGGGGGGGGGGGGGGGACGCTGGGATTCACTGGGAGATGCTGCACTCGGTGCCGGCGACATACAGAACTTGTGGGTCCTCGTGGTCAGCAAATCTGAGTGGGAGAAGCGGCATGTGGTTGGAGGGGCAGAGGTGGTGGTGGGGGGGAGGGGCAGGGCAGGGTGAGCGATGTGGACGAGTCACCGACTCCTCCTCTCTCTCCCATCATGCTGAGATCTCGGTGGCTACTTTGTCCCAGGCTCGGGAGCCGATTGCAGATCTCACTCTTGCAGGGATCCGCCTGGCGCCCCCCCCCCCACCCCGTCGGCAATCCCGCAGGGTGGCGGTGGGTGGGGTGGAGTGAGGGAGGGGAGTTGAGGGCAACTGCGAGGTGCGGAACGACAGCCGCGCCATCAGGCAGCGACATCCGCTGACAATTTTGTCCGGCCATGATTGTTGTTGCCAGGGGCGAGGCCCGTGGGGGCCATGGCCGACAGTCGACGGGGCGAGCGATCGAGCCGGCGGATTAGTCGGGGCCCCAGCTTCCCAGCAAGCCGCCGCCGCCGTCACTTGCACGTGTACTCCTCCGCCCCCTCGCTGCACGTGCTGCAGCGCACGTAGCAGCACCAGCGGAACTCGCACTTGCAATGCCACGAGCGCGTGTACCGGCGCGTGTCGTAGCCGCGGCCGCAGCACAGCAGCTCGCAGCCGTCGGCGTGCGGCGACGTGCGGTCGCACGGGCGGCCGCGCGTGCCCACGCTGCCCGTCAGCCGGTCCTCCTCGCAGTAGCTAGGCGAGCTCTCGGTGAACACGAGCTCCGTGTGGAGCGGCTTGCGGTGGCCGCGCGAGCGCCTCGCCTGGAGGAAGGCGGGGTAGCGGTGGCGGTAGCGGCCGGCGTGCACCGGCTCCACGTGGACCGCCTCGTCGTACTTGCGCTTGAGCGCGGAGCCCACCTCGCGGAACTGGGGCAGCGTGGCCCAGCACGTCCTGGTGGTGCACGAGCCCAACACTCCGTGGCACTTGCACACCGGCTTCATCTTCTCCTCCAGCACCTGGCGGCACGTGGGGGGGGAGAGAGAGACGAGAGGGCAGGAGAGCATCGGGGAGGTAGGTGGGGACAAGTGGGGGGGGGGGGGGGGGGGAGACAGAAAGACAGAGAGAGACAGAGAGAGACAGAGAGAGACACAGAGAGACAGAGACAGACTTTGACTTTAATAATTTTATTACACCAGCGGCAATTGTGCTGGAGTTTTCCAATATATGAGCCTTTATGGCAACACACAAACATGTAATAAAAGACTCCGTCAGCCACTGCTGGTCTCCGCTTGTCTTCTATTTAGGTTCTTCTCCGCACCCCGCTGGTCTCCTCCACGGACCAGCGTCGTCTCCTCTCGCGTGCCACGCACGCTCCTCCGTTAGCTCCTCTACTCCCGCACTCCGCACCCCGCTGGCCGACGGCGTGCTGAGGACCTTCGGCCACGTGGCCGATGGCGCGGATCTCTCTCTCACCACCCAGCGTGGCTCAGACTCTCAACTTCCACGACTGCCCCGATCTCTTCCGGGCTCCCACTAATATACATTCCCCCCACGTGATCCTGACTCCTCCCCTTCCGGATCGTCAGATCCGGCCTTCCCATAATGCCCCGCTGGCTCCGCCCCCATTCACCTCGCCTCCCATTGGAGCCGAGGTGAACGGTGGCCCCTCCCACACGCCCCGCAGACCAGGCTCCGCCCCCCAATACCCCGGGCCGCGTGATTGGACCAGAGCCCAGCAACAACCCCATTTACACTATGAGACACCTCCTTTACCAGTGGCAAAATATAGTGATAGGTTTTTACCCTTTCAACTGGTACAAAAACTGACATCATGTTTGCAAGAACCACAAGAACCACAACACAAGCAGTCAAAATGCAAACAAAAAGAAACAACTCTGATGATGATAATGATATGCACTGTCCTTGAAGTTAATTGGTCCGCACTCGAGACAGCTTTCCTTAGCTAAAAATAAGCATTGTGCCGGAAAAATGACGAGGAGAAGAGGTAGGATAATGGGGGGTGGGAAGGGGGGGGGGGAGAGAGTGGGGAGGGGTGGGGTGATTTTGTTTTCAGCGCCTGCGTTGGATTGGATCTGGAGGAGTGCTTGGTGTGGGGAAATCGCTGGCACCTTGCGCCCGGCGGCGTTGTTGTGCAGGTTCATGAGCGTGCGCGCGCTCCGCTGGACCTCGCGCGCGTCCACGAAGAGGCGCGAGAACTCGAGGCTGTGGCTGAGGTCGGCCGAGCAGCCGCCCTGTGCATCGTAGAAGCCGCCCTGCTTGGCGCCGTCGCAGCCGCACCAGCTCCGGTCGCCCCGGCCGCACGCCGCCGTGATGGCGTACGCCACGGCCGCCGCCATCACGGCGTGCGCGAAGGCCGCTTCTCGGCTACCTGCTCGTGTCGGGGAGCCCACGCACAGGGGGGGGGGGCGGTGTGAGCAGCAGGGTGGTGGAGCAGGGACGCGTGGGAGGTGGGGGGGGAGACGCGGGGTCGCGGTGATGGGGGTGGGGAAACAATTGATCGGCTGGATAAGGCAACTGCTGTATCATAAGCTCACGGGCAGCCTGCTGATACATGGAGTCCTCTCTGAGGAGATACCAACTGGGTCAGGTGTGCGACAGGGGTGTCTCCCTATGTCACCGGTGTCATTCATGTTGTGAATGGAGCCCTTTGCCCAGGCGGTCAGGGGAAATCAGCGGATTAAAGGGGTGTAGGGAGCCAGCAAAAATAGCCATGTGTATGGACGATGTCGTCATTTCCTGTGGGGATGTCTCCTCGGTATGGGAGGCCCTAGGACTCGCGGATAGATTATTTTTGGCCTCGGGATCTAACGTAAATGTGAGGAAGAGTGAGATGCTGATCTTCAGTGACCCCAGGCTATTCGAGGGCCGTCCACCGGTATAACGGTGCTGGGAGAGGGGATCAAGATCCTGTCCGCCCGGCCGGCCGGGCGGACAGGCGCCTTCCAATGGAAGGTAGAATGTTGGTCACGAGGGTGGAAATCCTCCCGACACTTATCTACCGGGCCTACGTGATCTCGCCGGGCGCGCAAATGGCGAAAAGACTGCAGCGAATGTTCTTCAGGTTCATCTGGGGAGGGGGGGGGCGCGATGGGCCGAGTGGAACGGAAAACGATGTATAATAATAAAATCGTCGAGAACGGTGGGAGGGGCGCCCCGAATATCACGTGCACCCTCGCCACGATCCTGGTCTGCGACACGCTGCACCTGTATTTCTCCAATGGACTCCAGGTGGAAGCCTCGTTACGTACGGCACAGGCAGGCGTGGCTCCTGCGGTGGCCAGGGACGGCTTCGTTGCCGCGCGGCACCCCCGCGGCTTGGCCTCAGGGGTGGTCGTGCACCGCGGCAAGCGAACACGTCGTGAGGCGTGAGCCGGCCCAGACACGCGCGTCGTGGATTCCCAGGGACGTCCTGGCGGAGACGTCTAAGCAGGAGGCTGGTACAGAGGTGCCAGGTGCACGGGGTGCCGTGCACCGACTACTTTAGAAAAACGTAACATCGCCAGCCCTGACGAAAAGGCAATGGGATTTATCCTGGCTGGCGGCCTGGGACAGGCCGGAATAAAGACGGTTCATGTGTTCCCGAAGATTGGCCCGCACCCTCAGTGCCCATTTGCTCGGGAGGTGTGGGAGTTATGTCGGCCTCTGCTGCCTCATTTTTGTCCAGTAAAGGCCACATTGCCTAATATAATTTGGGGGATGTTCAGACAGAGGGCGGGGGAGGTCTGGGCTCAGGCGTGGGCCGTCGTAAGCGCCGTGAAGGAGGCGGCCCTGTGGGCGGCGCGCGGGAGAGTGATTAAGGGCACCTGCATGTCGGCCGTTGGAAAGGGTGGTGTAGGTGGAGACAGAGATGGTGGGCAGTGACGCTGCAAATGAGAAATGGCGGTGGCCTCCACCCCCGTGTGGCACAGAGTTTGAGGACGGCCTCCGCTGCGAGGGTAGGCGGATTCATGTTTCTTCCCTGGCGACGGTAAACTTGTTCGCTCAAAGGTTGTGTGCAGGATGTGTCTCTCGTGTTTCATACTCGGTGCACCTGCTGTCAGGGAGAGTGGTGCAGGCACTGGTTGTTACAACAGGATCACCGGCTCGGGTTGTGGTCATGATTTCTCCTGTTCTTTTTCCTGTTCTAGGCAGAGGACTGCCCATGATTGAGAAATGAAAAAACTTTTAAATAAATAAGAAACGTGGCGCGTTGCGAGTTCTAGAATTCAGAGAGAGACGCACAGGGTGACCGCACACCGCGGGTCCGCCCCTCTGCCGAACTGACGCCGAGTCGGGGCGCTCACCGCCTGGGAGCTCCTGGCCGAACACCGTCTCCTCCCCCAGCGCCGAGCAATTCCAGCGGCTGAATCGGAACTGGTGCCGGCACTCGCCGATTCCCAGGCGCGCACCCTCGCCGACCGCGACCATCGCGTCCGGGTGGCTCCGGCACAGCGCCCGCTGCTGTGGCGTCAGTCCCGGAATCTTGCCGCAGATCGTGTCCGCGGACAGCGCCCTGCAGCCATCGGGCAGGCAGACGGACGCACGGACGGGCGCGTGGACGGAGAGCCGCCCGGCGGCACCGTGACCAGCGCGAGCGAACGCAGCAGCAGCAGCAGCGTGCAGACTTCTCCCTCGACGATCTTCACAGCGACCCGACATCGCCATCGCAGCCCCCCCCCCCCGTCACAACGCCGCGCGACGAGCCCGGCTTCTCGACGAGCCCGGCTTCTCTCTCTTACCCCACTCGCGAGTAGAAGAAGGCCGCCGTGAGAGCAGCAGCAATGCGCAGGAGGAGGAGGGGGCGGTGCGGCGGTGCCCAGCGGTGGACGCGCGCGCCGCATGGCGCCGTCTGCCGCGTGGCCGAGGCGCTGGCGCGCGCCATCTCGCGGAGTGTCACAGTGCCGCTGTGACGAGTCGAGCCAGACCACCTCGTCACACGCAGCAGCAGCTACACACACAGTGACACTCAGCTACACACAGTGACACTCAGCTACACACACACACCTACACACAGTGACACTCAGCTACACACACACACCTACACACAGTGACACTCGGCTACACACAGTGACACTCAGCTATACACAGTGACACTCAGCTACACACACACAGCTACACACAGTGACACTCAGCTACACACAGTGACACTCAGCTACACACAGTGACACTCAGCTACACACACACAGCTACACACAGTGACACTCGGCTACACACAGTGACACTCAGCTATACACAGTGACACTCAGCTATACACAGTGACACTCAGCTACACACACACAGCTACACACAGTGACACTCAGCTACACACACACAGCTACACACAGTGGCACTCGGCTACACACAGTGACACTCAGCTACACACACACAGCTACACACAGTGACACTCAGCTACACACAGTGACACTCAGCTACACACACACAGCTACACACAGTGACACTCAGCTACACACACAGTGACACTCAGCTACACACACAGTGACACTCACCTACACACACATAGCTACACACAGTGACACTCAGCTACACACACAGTGACACTCAGCTACACACACACAGTGACACTCAGCTACACACAGTGACACTCAGCTACACACAGTGACACTCAGCTACACACAGTGACACTCAGCTACACACAGTGACACTCAGCTACACACACACAGTGATATTCAGCTACACACACACAGCTACACACACAGTGACACTCAGCTACACACACAGTGACACTCAGCTACACACACAGTGACACTCAGCTACACACACAGACACTCACCACACACAGTGACACACACCTACACACACAGACACTCACCACACACACAGTGACACACACCTACACACACACACTCACCACACACACAGTGACACACACCTACACACACACAGACACTCACCACACACACAGTGACACACACCTATACACACAGACACTCACCACACACACAGTGACACACACCTACACACACAGAGACACTCACCACATACACAGTGACACACACCTACACACACACAGACACTCACCTACACACACAGTGACACACACCTACACACACACAGACACTCACCACACACACAGTGGCACACACCTACACACACACAGACACTCACCTACACACACAGTGACACACACCTACACACACACAGACACTGACCTACACACACAGTGACACACACCTACACACACACAGACACTCACCACACACACAGTGGCACACACCTACACACACACAGACACTCACCTACACACACAGTGACACACACCTACACACACACAGACACTGACCTACACACACAGTGACACACACCTACACACACAGACACTCACCTACACACACAGTGACACACACCTACACACAGACACTCACCTACACACACACAGACACCTACACACACACAGACACTCACCTACACACACAGTGACACACACCTACACACAGACACTCACCTACACACACACAGACACTCACCTACACACACACAGACACTCACCTACACACACAGACACTCACCTACACACACACAGACACTCACCTACACACACACAGACACCTACACACACAGACACTCACCTACACACACACAGACACTCACCTACACACACACAGACACTCACTTACACACACAGACACTCACCTACACACACACGGCTGCAGCAGTTGTGTGAACACCGCGTGGTTGGGAGGCAACCAATGATGACCACGCGCGACTTGGCCGTGGTGAAATCCTCTATGAAAAGTAGTTAAGGGGCCGTCCATAAATGACGTCACGCCAGGTGCGTGACGTCATTTTAATGACGGCCCCTAATCGATGCACACAAACACATTCAGAATAATTGATTCTCGATGGGCTTTAATTGATGAAGCAAGCAGGTGTAATCAATTCCGTCGTGTGTTCTAATTGCCCAAATCGCGCTGTGAGATGCACGTGCACGTGGCACCTTGACCAAGTCATTAAGGAAATGTGAGCCACATCTCACGCCCCTCCGCCCCCAGAGCCACGACACCATTCACCACCCTCGCCGGTGGGATACACGTCGTCACCTCATCGTCGTGTTGTCGATGACAGTCACTTCACACACATCGTCGTGCGGATCCACCTCGTCACGGGAGAGCCGGGACTTTCCAAATAAAAACGAAGCAATTGGCAACATTGTTACTGGTAGGAACCTCCTGGTTACACCAGCCCACAGGGGATTATTGTGTCCGTCCGTCCGTCCGTCGTGCAGGGAGGGGCTGGGTGGGGAGGGGTGGGGCTGGGTGGAGAGGGGAGGGTGGGGAGGGGCTGGGTGGGGAGGGTGGGGCTGGGTGGGGGGTGAGAGGGGTGGGGCTGGGTGGGGGGTGGGAGGGGTGGGGCTGGGTGGGGAGGGAGGGGCTGGGTGGGGAGGGTGGGCTGGGTGGGGAGAGGCTGGGTGGGGAGGGGCTGGTCACCCCGTGGTGCCCTTATAAAACTCAACGTTTCACCTACTCACGCCGGCTTGTGCCCGCCCTCACAGTCGGGCATATTTGCGGAATACACCACGCCGCCGTTGACCCTGCAGGCCATTGACCGAGCAACCCAACGTTCCTGCCAGCTCCCTCCGCAGGAATGTGTTTCTGTTCATTTCCCATCACAACAACGGCAACAAGGAAATAACCTAAGAGTTAAATATTACCGCGTGATGGAATAAATTATCCTTCACTTGTTGCACTAAGTGGAGAGGAATTTACTGTTGCGTTGCACAATTCGTTGAACAAATTGTGATAGCCTTGTGACCTTTACCACTGACACATCGCCCCAAACAAGACGTACATTTTTATCTTGATCAAGGGTTATTAAAGGCCCGAACATTACAACTCTGTGTGCGTTTTTTTTGTTAGATTCATTTGGCAAGGGAAACTAGTTGGCTTTCCCTCTGCTCCACTCGCTTGCCACTTTGTCCTGCCACACCCACCCAGTGTGTCACCGCGCTAGTCTGCCATCACGAACCAGAGGAGATGAATGGTGAACATTTAACAGAGAAATGGAACATTTATGCTGGTCTTTGGAAACAGTTTTAAACAATCCAGGACGGTTTGCTTTCGTGGAAACATTCCAACCGAGATTGTATTTGTTTGGGATGTCCCAGCGGCAGTCGAGGTTTTTGGCAATGATCTGCAGGGATGGTGCGTTTCCGTTCCTAGCCGCGAGGTCATATCCTCGTTACTGCGCCGTCCGTGAGCGTTGGTTCACGTTCCGAGCAGTGAGGAAGTCCGCTTATCTTGCTTAAGTTGTTGAGTTGCGTCGGCAATAAACCCAAAGGGCAACCTTACCTGGTAAATACAGTAAACCATCTAGTCAACCACTGTAGTCTTCGTTCCTGCAATGAAGGAATAACAAAGCTACACCAACTCTCTCCCGGAGCCCTCTTCTGGCGAGCCGACCTCGACGTTTTCATGCATCTCGTGAACATATTGCCAGAATTGGAGTAAATTGTGATATGGTGCCACCTAGTGGCGATACAGCTCAGGGGAGTCTTTTATGTAAACAGGCGGCAAAGCCGAGTGAGAGATTCATGTTCATCATTATCAACCAAAATTAAATCCTATGCTGGATGGAGGCCTCTCCAAGCTGTCATCATCACATTTTCTTGCAATGCAACAATCCACGGAGCACCTGCATACGAGCTGATTTCAGAGCTCTCCACCTTAGATCTTTAAAGGTGCATTTGAAATAGTTTTTATACTCCTACTGATGCTCCTGCTGTTGTGGAGCGACTCATGCAGCCAGCTTTGGCTACAGGGTTTGGTGGAACGTGCTTTGTGTCGTTTAATGTGACATTTCGGTCACAGTTCCTATGATCACTGTTACATTGCTTATGGCTTCATTTTGGTGATTTCAAAAGTTTTTTGGTTTGGCCATGTTTGTTTGTTGTAGTACAGTTAGAATGATGGCTTTAATCTAAGTTGTCTTGTGGTTGTTGTTGTTTGACTGGCATCCCACTGGGATTTTTGCACAGCGTTGGTGTACAGTGCTTTTTTCTGGAAGACTTTGCAGTTTTTCCCTGGATTTTTTAATCCTTTATAATAAGTTCACTTGCTTGCGTGCTTGCTTGCTTATGACCGTGCAAATCTTTCGGTCGTTTTTTAACCCACTTCCCGTGATCCAATCGAGCTGACATTTTGCACACAGACTCGTTGTGCGTGACAATTAATTTGTAAAAAATTTTTTCAAAAATTTTACACTGTTTAGGGGAAAAAAATTCAATATTTAATACCAATTGCTTAATGGTGGCAATCATCTGACCCATAGGTGGCAGCCATCTCAAGCCAGAGGAAGAGAGGACTCTAGCCGCCCGTTTCATGATGACGCAAATGTTGACTAACCACATGGCATGAAATCCCTGCCCCCACGCTGTACACTGGAGACTATTTATAGAGCAGTTAAATTGAAGCCGCCAGGTTCTTGAAAGTGGTAAAACGGGTCAACGCTAGTGCCCTCGGGAATATACGGGGCATGTCAAGAGGGGATCTTTCATTTTTAAATCCTTTATATTAACTTCACTTGCTTGCTTACTCAAGAAAAACAGAATTGAATAATAAAATGAAACCGATGTGTGTGGTGTGTAGTGTAAGCAATGTGGGATATCGATATACACTGACATGAACAAGATCAGCAGACAAGACGTCTTTCATACTCTTTGGTTCTTTCAGTAAAGTCACGTAGGTAGAAAAAAAAATAATAAATCAAGACGTTTCGATCGCAACACGAGCAGTCGTCCTCAGGCGAAAACATCCAGACATTGTCGCGGCAGAAGTCACGTGAGCTACAGCTGAGCATTGTTGTAATGCGGTGGGCTCACGCGAAATTGATTTCTGTAAGACGAAGGTGCTTTGAAAACCCACTGGCGACGCTCTTTAGTGTCAGTCT